GCTAAAGGATTTGTAAAACTTTTTAACTCTCGAATATGCCCAATTATCTGGTCTAAAGTTAAAGTTTTAATAGTAGATAGGGTGTTGAGTTCCAAGGTAATATTATCGAACTAATGAATAAACATGGTATCCAAATTCGACTAGCTAATTCTAAAGAATCTATGGGTATTGTTAAGAGATTTATCGTATACTACAAGAGTGGGCATTCTTTATTCAAGATGGTATTGAAATGAGATTACCTTCTACTGAACGCTGTCGAGCTTGGGTAAAAGACCTTCCAATTTTTCTTATAGAGCTTGACAATTCTGTAACTTGACTTCTGGGCATTTCCCCTGCTGAAGCCCAAAAAAAAGAACATGTTTTTGCTAAAGCTTCCAAGCCACGAAAAGGACCTATTGGGTTCAATGAGTCTAGATGAAGATTGGGATATTCATATACTTGCTGTTTTTTTAGTATATCAGACCAAGAGACATGCTACTACTGGTTATACACCTTTCTAGTTAATCTACAGAAGACAAGCTACTCTATCTATCGAGACTATCTTCTCTACTAAACCACTACCAGACCCAAATACAAAAATAGACTTACAAGATAGTATACTGCAACAAGCTTATGATCTAATAGAGAAGCTACCCCAAGCACAAGAAGAAGCTCGAACGAATACAGAAAAGTCACAGAAGAAACAAAAAGAATATTTCGATGCCAGAATCAGACCAGAAGAATTCAAAATTGGTAAAAAAGTTTGGATACAAATTAAAGCCTTAGAGAAGTCAAGATCAGCTAAATTCGAAGACAAAGAAAATAACCCTATATTATTCAAGCAAAACTGAATAATGGAGCCTATAGACTATGAACATTGGATGGAAAAATACTACAGAAATATTATAATAGTGATCGACTAGCCAAGTATTATGAGAAACAGACATGGGAACCAATCATTGTGATCAAAAATCCTTAATTTCTGAAAGAAATTTTACTAGACGGGGAGAGACAAAGACAAAATTTTGCGAAATAGACAATCGTATAACTTTAAAAACCCAAATATAAGAGATATCTAAATTGGCTAGAAATACGCCTAAAGCCCAATATTCTACATTATTAACTAACACTACCTCATAAAAAGGTTTAACAGGACTACCTCCTGATTTTTCAGCTCTTTTTTTACGCTGAATTGTAGATAACTGTAAAACCTCACTAAGGTTCGAACTATCTGTTCTAGCTAGATAACTATTAGATTCCACTTCTGTATGCTCTATTTCCAAACTGGTATTTCCTTCTGCCAACTTCAAGTCAGTATCTATATATTCTAACTCTATGTCATAATAATTATACTCTTCGTTATTCCCTTCATTATTCCCATTGTAATACCCTTCATTATTCCCATCATAATACCCTTCATTATTCCCATCATAATACCCTTCGTTATTCTCATCATAATACTATTCATTATTCTCATCGCAATCCCTTTCATTACTCTCATTATAATACTCTTCATTATTTATTAGTATGATTATTCATTTAGATGGTGTAAAACTGTATTTGTTCGATTCAGGCAGTTAGCTTTCTAAAGGTAATGA